AGAAGCTAATAATTTCATTTGAAAACTGAAAGTTTCACTTAACACTGTAGCATATAATTGGTACACTTCTTGTGAGACTTTGTAATATATTTAATATTTTACTCATTGTAGCATTCCCACAGAAGCCAAGAACTGATTGGTGCAACAATATGGGTAATTCACATAGTTACCAGTTCCAGTGCCTGCAAGCCATTCCAGATTTTCAGCATTCTAAATCTGGAGATGTTTAGAATTCTGGTTCCACTTCTTTCTCTATAGTCATTACACTTAGTTTAACATGTTAGAGAGATGAAGTATTTGAGCAAGAAATTACCTGATACATTCAGAAGACAAGAAAGGTATCTTTCAAGTGTGTAATGAGAGTTAGACATTTTCCAAATTCAAAAACACTTCATTTAACTAGAAGAGTGTTAATCACATTTGCACAGTTTTTCATGAGGCATAAAAACATCAAGATAGAAAAATAAAGATTTAAAAATGCTTAGCTCTGGCTGGGTGGTACATTATATGATTTACAAGGACTCTCTGCAGCCTAATCCAAATGTTCAAGGGCAACAGCAAAGCCAAAATGGTCACCACCTGTCAGAAGGTGGCAAATTTGCTTTCAGAGGTAAAGGAAGGCCTCTCGGCAGGCAGCACCTGCAGTAGCAACCCATTTCCCTTTTGAAATGAGTGTTTTGCAGGTGACAATGTGGAGTTTCTCCCCAAGGGGCACCAGCCAACAGTCATCCTTCCTCCCAGCCCCAAATGCCTGCACTGGAATGGCACTGCAGGCCAGGGATGGGAGGATCTGGGAGCTTTGTCTTGTGCACACAGACAGGGAAATGCAGCTAGAAGGGCCATGGCCTGTTGCTAGATGTGACGGGAACTGGAGTTCAGACAGTGAAGATGAAGCCGTTTAGGAACGTCAGCAAGTGACAATATCAGATCAAGGTCAGGGAATGTCTGCAGTTCAAGCACCATTGCCCCAGCTGGGTGGGAGTGGCAACCAACCATCCCGTAGGAATGGAGAGTAGCTTGGCAAGGAGAACTGGGGGTGGAAGATGATGAGCGCCCCGATCTGCCAATGGGGGAACAGGAGGCGGGTTCAGAGTCGCCACAGCGCATGCACTAAGAGCTAAATACACGGTCAGATGTAGAGGCCCCTTCCCTGAGGAGGTGTTTCCTGTTGCTAGGAGGAAACACAGGCAGGAGATTCAGTTGGAGCTGCAGGAGGAGTGGGGAAAGGTGAGGAGGGCCAGTGGCCCCCTCCTCTGAGCCTGCAATGGAGAAAGTGTCTTAAACAGGATGAAGATTAAGGGAGGGCTCAGAGAAGGTTTAATATTTTACTCTGAGTGATCTCAGAGATGTTTGGCAAAAAGGATGTGTAACAATAAAGCATTGAGAAAAGGAACTTAGTTTACTCAGGAGAAGGACTGCAGCTCACAACACTTTGAACCCACTGAGATTTTCCAGTCTGCCATGCAGTCCGTTTTGTTCCCATTCCCAAGCTCCCCATCACCACCCTTTCAGCTGGGAAAAGTGCACACTCATGCACCCAAATCTGCTCTTCTCCCCAATCGCTGAAGCATAGATGTGTGCACTATATGACATGGTCATTTTTAAAGGGTTAATTGTCTAAATGAGCATCACAAAATGAGTTATGTGTGGACTTTGCCCAGAAAATGCAGGCATGAATGGAGAAAGTTCTGCTGACAAATGAATGGAAATAAAATTCTCATAGAACTCTTTTTTCAGGGCATTCAGGGCATTCTAGGGGGAAAAGCATCCACCAGCTGGCAGCTAATAAAATTACATAAAACCATTCAATAAAACAGTAATTAAAAAGTAACATTGCATTAAAATACCCAGGGGATGCAAGCAATACTAGCAATGAGAATACCTGGATGCATATGTGTTTTTAGTTGTTGACAGACACACTCCATACTAGAAGCCTGCCTGACCTCAGTGGAGAGATAACTCCACATGGTGGGCACCACATCTGAGAAGTTCCTCCCTTGCACCATGGCCAAATGAACTTCACAGGCACCAGTAAGGTCAACATTGCAGAGACCCCCTCAAAATATAATACCAGCCAAGCCTATACAGGAGAAGGTCGACTTCTGGATAGGAAAAGTTATCAAGGTCTGCAGCATGGTGTACCTTTGTCCTGCTTCAACTGCATGAGGTAACTCTAAAGCAAAAGCATAACACTCCCCATTAGCACAGATGTGATAAAGGCTATGTGAATACCGTGACAACAAGGTCTTACCCAGTCATCAACCCATGAGATCGGCATGCCTGTATTTGGGACAAGATAATTAAGAATATCTGAGTGTCTCCAGATAATGCTATTTATTTGCTTATTTTAGAGACAGTTCACAAAATGAAACAATATCATAAAAACCATCAACATTAATAAATAAGACAAAAACTAAAACAACACCAACCTCTCGGGCTATATGGCAAAGAAAACTAATAGCTGATAGTAAACTTAAAGTGAGGACAGAATTTGCAGGCATTCAAAATGTAAAGGTAAAGGCTAAATGTTCCCCTACATATGTGCACCAGACATGTCTGATTCTGGGACCAGGGCACATCTCCATTTGTAAGCCATGTCCAAAGACGCTTCCGTGGTCATGTGGCTGGCATGACTAAAGGCCGAGGTGCACAGAATGCTGTCACCTTTCCTACCAAAGTGGTACCTATTTATCTACTCGCATTTGCATGCTTTCAAATTGCTAGATAGGCAGGAGCTAGGACAAAGCAGCAAGTACTAACCCATCACGGGATTCAAACTTCTGACCTTCCAATCAACAGCCCTGCAGCTCAACAGCTTAACCTACTGCACCACCCGTGTCCCTTTGCAGGTATTTAGAAGCTAGTAAAGAAAAATCAAAGACACTTTATGGGGACAGACTTCCACAGCTGGGGAGCTATTGCAGAAAATATTCTCCTTTTGATAGCCACCAAAATCAAAGCAAATGGACAAGGTTTTATTTATTTCTTTGATTTATATCCCACTTTTCCCTTTTTTACATAATTCTCCCCCTCCTGCTCTCAATCTTATTCCAGAGAGGGAACTGTTGATATAGACTGTCTCCTACAATTAAAGATGCTTAATTACATATATTCCTGCATCATGTATGGGTCAAAGGCCTGACTCTCAAAACAGCAGATGAGATGAAAAATCTGTGTTTGGACTATAACACTTCAACATGCCTGAATGTTCCTCCACTGGGGAAGAGGGGTAATCTGTTCACATAGAAAATGTAGTGTAGGGATCCAGATACTTTCTGTCCCCCACCAGACTTTTGTAACAAAGATACGAGATTTCCCACAGGTTAATGCAAAATAAAGGAGAAGAATGGAGAATTACATCTGTGCAATGATAGAATTTAAAGCTTATAGTACTTTAAACTTTACACAAACTTTTCAAATTACAATAAACTCTATGTGTGTATGGGGTGGGGACAGGTGGTCTTCACTTTGCTATATGTCATCTCTATCTATGGTGGAATCAGAAATGGCCTTCTTCCACTTCATCCCCCAAACTAGGAAGCCCCAAGGAACTTGAACATGGAATCTTTACTAAACATGTATACCGGGAGCTTGTTCTCCAATGGGTTCTGTATCCCACTAGACAGCAAGAGATCCTTTGCTCAGATCTCTTCACTGGCTACCTGTGCCTGTGTTTTGCAGATTGTCAGGTACCTTTTCTTTTGTTGTCCACTGACTAATGGAATCAGATTTTGTGAAAGTGCATTTCCATGCATTTGTATACATTCGTGCTCGTGCAAATTTGCACTTCTGAAAAGGCAAATCTGAAAATACACAGATGTGCATTTTCATACTTTAGTTTATAGGGGAAATGCACTTAGTATTTTTTTAATTGTTCAACAACTGCATTTGTCTAAACTTAGAGAAAATAAAACAAAAACAAACAAACCAACCACCTCAACCTACAAGTCTATGGAAGCCATGTGACACAGGAAAACAAGTCTTCTGCAAAATCCATGGGTCAGGTTTATGGAAATCTGAACCCATGTGATTCCAATGCAGATTTATCCTGCCTTCACTCCTCTGCATGTGTGCGGAGGAGCGAATGGGGGGAATGAATGCGGTGGAAGCACCTGAGACCGGGTAGAGGTCCAGTGGAAGGGTGAAGTCTCTTGGCACAATTCCCTCCGTGATCATGTTGTAATGCTGGCTTTAAAACCTTATAGTAGCAAAAAGAAAATACATCCAAAAGAACATAAACGAAGGACTGAAGGGACATTTTATAGCATTGCTTATTTCTAGCTTTCCATTGGATTTGGAAATGCTTCCATTTTTCTCTTCTTATTATGGAGATTCAACAAATAATGAAACCAGTTTCATTTATGTTCAGCTTCTAAGGAGCTATAAAGGTATTTAAAGCCCCTTCCCTCAATGAGTGCTGCAATAATGATCGTTGATAATTTATGACATATAAAGGATAATATGATGCATCCATCTTTCCGCTCGCAGGTTTTCTCTCTCTGTGAGTGTGTGCTGCTTAGAAGTGCACTTTAAAACTCTGTGCCTGTTATCTGCCTCTTTCTCCCTCTGTCACAATCTTCTTCCTCCCCAAGAAATTTTGGGAAACCAGGTCCCAACTGCTGATAGCGAGATGCCTACTTCAGACAGTGATGTTCTTATAATTCCTGGGCTAAAGGCTGTGAGACAGCTAAAGCAAGCAAAGTAAGTTTTGAAAGGGATGGAGATTTCTTCTAAGAAAAGCGGGAGAAAACAAATGCTGAATAACACTTGCTATCTTTTGCACCCATCCTACTACAGAACTGGGAAAACCATCCAGGTTCAAGAGACAGCTGAGGGCCAGAGGTTAATCTCGCAGCTACAATAAAAGGTGCTATCCAGGTTACCCTATCATGAGTCATGGAGGGGAGCATGCATAAGCTTCAGCTCAGGTACCAGCATTGGCATTTTCACGGTTCGCATCAACACAACTCACTGCAAAGGGAAAATGTAGAGCATCTTACCTGTTGTTGACCTGATTGTTGAGGTGATATTGGAAGAGGCCATTGCAGGGATACATTCATCATCTTGAGAGTAACCTGCCTGAATGGCACGCAAGTAACTGTGGCTTCTGGTTCGGAAACAACCTGGCAGGTCGAGGGCGTCCATTGCCTGAGCTTCAACTTCACTAAACACTGATTCACAAACAGATTCAAATTGCCCATTGACCTCTGCTTCACTCATCTAGATAAACAACAACATTGCATTTGGTCGTGTTTGTTTGCTTCTTGGTTGGCTTTCTCAGAAACGAACTCTGCTGCAACACTTAGAAACAGGCACTCCCTAAGCAGTAACACAACATCCCGTTTGCCTCCAACCCCTCTGGATACTTTTATCATGTAGAAAAATGCATCAGAGTCCCTGAAGTGGGCACATTCGCTCAGCTGTTATCTGTGTTCTGATGGTACTTCAGGAGAAAATTTTAAGACAGACTTTTCGTTTGACTATATTAAGCAAACAGAAATAACAGGAACAAAAATACCCTAAACATTAATTAGCATAATCTGTGCATTAGAACAGTTGAATAGTTGATAGTCCTGACAAATTTTTCTTCCACCACCCCCATATTTTTCTTATCAGCAGGAAGCACCTCCACGGTAAAATGGGAATAGAGCTAAAAAAGTAATATAATTTTGCTCGTATCCTAATAGATTAAAAGAATAAGCTGCTTTTGGAAAAGGGCATATCAATTAAGCTAATTGCCCTCATTCAGATGTACGGGGAAACCATCCTTCCCTGCTATCAGAACACAGCAGTGAGCCATGGGCTCCTGTGCTTCCCAGTCCCCTTCCGTCTTTCCTTGCATTCAATGAGAGGAAGTCCAGAGCCTCCCATGGTGGCTGGGAACAAACCACAATTTGCTGTGATGTCAAAGACAAGACACTGATTTTTTCAAACCACAATTAGTTAACAAACCCGAATCGGAAACCAATTTAATCCAGGTTTGCTCTAACTAACTATGGTTGGATAAAACCAATTCCCCATAGCCGCATAGAATGCGAAACTCTGATTTGTTCCAAACAGAATCCTGATGCTTTACACTTCCTCCACCTGTGCACAAAAGAGGAGGAAGCGTGTGCAGGCTCAGTGCTTGTGGTGCACCTCATAAGGGGAAACCAGGGTCTCCCGTTTAGCTCTTACCTGGCCAATGCCTATTCCAGCTTTCAAGTAGTTAATTCATGTATCCATCAAAAGTTGCTTATTGGGGGCTTATATGGGACCAGAACTGAAGGGAGTGCACCTAATTGGAGAGCAAAATTGGATTTCAAAGTAGGGAACTGCCTTCTAGCACCATCGTTTGAGGCAGCTACACACTTGTTTTGGTTCTACCCTACGGAGTCGACGCTGCTCACCCTCGAGATGCCTGCTTGTGCTGCACTGTCCTACTGGCAGAGCAGGATACTGCCACAACGCTAGCTGTGAGGCACAAAGAGGGGCCTGCCAGAATACTGCAACTGTGTGTTGTAGCCCCAGAGCGGCAGACTGGAGGAAATGGCCCGGCCCCTCGAAACCATGGTTACAATTTGGTTCCCTGCCGTTTGGTATCTTTCTTTGAAGTCATACTGCATGGGTGTCTATAATCTACTTTAAGGGCTCCGACTGGCTGTGAAGCAGGGTGAAAATGCAGGTGGTAAACAGAAAGAAAAAGAAAGAAAGTGATAGCAAGCCAAGAGGCAGCAGGGAATTTATTTCCTTTGAGAAAGAGCAGACCCATCAAGTCTCTGTTTTTGGAAGTTGGCCACTACCAGTGGGTCAGAGCAGGGCCTTCAACTGTCACATATTTTCCCAAATTAACATGGGCAGAAAGTATCTCAGGTACCGTTACCAGTAAAACTAATGCAGGCAGTACTCAGTGTACCATTCATTTCTTGTTTTGCAAACACCTGCTTGATGCAAAGTTTAACAGTTTTCTCAGGCTCCTGAGTAGTCCATTTTTCTGTGCCATCTGGTTGTTGAAAGCACAACTGCCCTGATGAACATATATTCCTGATTTATAGCTAATGCATATAATACATGCTTGTTCACGCAGAGTTCCAACTGTCCCCAGGCATTTGCACGCCTACCCAAGTTATCTAAAGTGGACCTGAAATTCCACAGCCATTCCTGTGACTGGCATAGAACTCTCCCCAAGCACAGGAATAAGAGCCATTTCTGGAGAGAAAATTTCATGGGATTTTTGACAGACTGCATCCCAGGTGACAGGCAGTGCATTTTCTCAGGTCAGTGTGTGCTCACAAACAGTTGTGACTGCTTATTTTTAGATTTAAAAATAATAATTTAAGTGAAGAAGCTTTCTCTGCACCAAAAGGCTTATCATTTTCCATGAACATACTCTCATCATTAAATTAGTAGGAATCAATTATTTCTGACCCGTGTCATTATTATTTCTTTCAGATCAAATTAAATAAATGTAATATAGGAAGACAAACATTCTTATTCTCAATGGCCTTAGACTAATAATATTAAGAAAGAAAGATGGGATAATGAAGTTATAATGAAGACTTTATTTGCTAATTGCTAACTGCAAACCCAATCTCCTGGGAGAGAAAATGGCAGGGGATTTGCAGTGAGCAAAATTTTTGTTTGTGCATTTCCTTCTGTTTAGAGAGAAGGAAATGCACAATGTTTAGAGGGGCCAGAAAAATGCACATCCCATGGCTTTTTGTGGGCAGAAGCCCATTTTAATGCGCCTCTGTCATGCCTAGACTGCCATCAGGTTTCCTTGCCCTCTGCTCATTTGCGCAAAATAGGGATAGGAGACGTATTTGGAAAGAAACAGAAGCAAAGTGAAAATCACATTCTCTTACTCCCCATCATTCCTGTTCCCAGGAATGATGGGAACAGGAATCCCATTTCTGTGATCCCATTTCTGATCCCATTTCTGTGGCGAGATGGGTCATTTTTCTGACTAGAACTGGACATTATTAAAGATGCAAGTGACCCCACATCATTTCCTGCTCCTGTTCCTCCTCTGCCTCTCCTGTAAATCTCACTGTGATGTTAAGTCAAAGGACTCAGTTGCTTTTCAGCCCCTCCACTTCACTGACTGCTGTACCTGACTGGAGAAACAAGAGACATTTGGACTATGATAATGTTGTATTTGGTGTCTGGTTTTACTAAGCATTTACTATATAGGGAAAGACAGAGGAAGAGATGAAGGGTTACCGTACTGGGGGAAGCCATACATCTTCAGGAACTTCTAATTCTGGCCAGAAAGGAACTGCAGGAGGTTTGGAAAGAAGCCTGTGGAGAGTTGGACAAGGCCGCTGATGGGCCTCGTAGGCTGCCTTCATTCCTTTCCTGTTTAGATTTATGATTTACCAGGGTTGAGATGAGCAGGAAATTTCATTGTCTGTTTTTTCCATTTCCTAACCATGACTCTTTGATATGACAATGGTACAATATTAGGGAATGATCAGATCTCCTTTAAAAGTAGAATACCTGATTAAATTGGAAGGCTTATAGAATGAAATAGATTAAAAAATACCTGATTAAGTTGGGAGGCTTATTGATTGAAACAGATTAAGAATGCCTTGTTTCAATTTAGCTGACTTTCCTGCATTCCTCATCCTCAAATATGACAGATACTCAGAAATCAGAAAATGTGGCTTCAGCCTCTAGGGTTTACCTGACACAATAGTGTTCTGTTCTGTGTTTTATTTTTGCTTTGTTTTAGCAGTGCAAGAAAATACACTGATAATGGATAGTTATCAGTTATCTGATAGTCATTGAAAATGTGGCTAGTAGCTACCTCAAAAGAAGAGATGTAACCAGCATGCTCACTACTCCCAATCAGCAGTTAGTCACAACCCACATTCAGTGCCACACAGACACTGATTGTGAGGTATTTATTCGGTGGGCTATTCCACACATTACTTAGTGTCAAACCAGCATCGGCCATCAACCATATACTCATAATACACTGGCCAATCAAAGTCCCCCATAAGTAATCCAGTGTTTACAAACAAGTGCTTTCCACTTTCATATATTTTTATTTCTTTTCGGTGCATAGGTAAAACATTTCAACAATACACCTTAGAAATTGTAGTGTATAAGTGGGCCACAGCCTCTCCTTGTTTTTGTTGCAAAACATGATTCACCTGCTCGCAGCTTAGGCAAATGACCAATTCAGTCAACTTCTTTGGGGCATCTTCAATACCTGAAGCCCTTAATGCTCTGCTTGGCTGACTTGGAACTCTTCGGTTTCTCAAATCTCTGGTGTTAATAGCCCTCTTTAGGCATTTTTCCTACTGGGGTCAATGAATGCAGGAGCTCTTGAGCCTCCTGCCCTTCCATTGCCACATCTGTTGCCCTGCCTGTGTGGAGAGACATAATCTGAACAGGAGAGCTTTCTGTATCCATGGAGAATCTCCACAGGAAAATTGAGAACTCTAGGAAATCAGGGCTGCGTCTCGTTCATTCATTAAACAGAGTAGGAAGGATACCTGAAGAGGGTTAATTAGGAAATAAAAACTGTTCAACTGCTAATATCTAGTCAGCAATATGAGATAAATTCCAGGGTACTGCTGGTAGTGGTGATTATTATTATTAATATTGCTACTGTTATTGAGCTTAAAAACAAATGAAAAATTTCCAACCTGGCTAATGCAGCTGGCCTGACTGAGCGTGCTCACTGCTCTCATATAACTCTGATTCCTCGAGCGGAACTTGGGGGAATTGTAGGTTGCTGACGGATCCAGGTTGTGACCACCAGGCACATCGCTTGCCGCTTGCAGGTAGCTCTGGCTATTAAAATAAGATTGAGGGAAACAAAAGTATGAAAAACAGTGGCTAAAAAATTAGGAGGGGCTGAAAGATTACCATAGATGGGCAGATATGCCTCATTATAAATACACGTAAATAAATAAACAAATACTCCCCTCCCCCATTGTGGGCTATTTCACTGAAATAGCAAAATGGCACTGAAAGACTTTCCGAATTTTGATTTCTTTCTCATGGTGTGGAAACCAGCCCTGCTCCTGCTGGACTGCAGTTGTACTCTTCTGCTTTCAGCTCTAACAGCACCAATCTACTGTAGAGAGAGCGCATTGGGCCCTCTGACTCCCAGGTGTATGATTGGCACTATGAGTACTCAGAGTTCTAACCATCTGGCCAAATCAGGAAGTGGGAGAACTCCTGGACTGTGCCCTTCGTGCCTTCATTTCTAACTGCATGACTGCCTCTTGGAGAACTGGAACATCCAGATCAGCTCAAGTCCTCCCAGACTTGCTAGCATCCTACTTCAAGAACTACTTGAGGTTCTACTGACTGCTCATGAAGTCTTACCCAATAGTTATAAAGAGGCCAACAGCCATTTCACTTATATGTTTTGCAGAGTGTGTTGCATCCAGTTGGCACTAAATACCAGTAACAGAAGGATTCTCTTAGAACTGCCTATAGCTCTAGCATTCACTTGCTAGTGCTGAATGCATCAGGATGCAAATGGCAGGCCTAGTGACCTGCTTGCTTCGTTTGGTATTAAAGTCTAGTTGCTTACATTAGTATAATAGTGAGCACTGCTTTGACCATGACGGTCTGCTTCCACAAAACTAGGGAGTTTTCCTTTGCTGATGTCGAGATGGCACGGGGACCCTGCATGCTGCCCTTGAACGTTCCTCATCAGCCATTACTTTTGTGAGCAAGAGGCAGTAATGAGCCTGTGCTTTGATGTCCAGGCAGAGAAGAAACATAAGCCAGCCAGGCAGGAATCCTTGCTAGCTCACTGGCATTCCTTATCTCTTAGCACCTGTGTAAACAATATTACTTTTGTAGGCACATATTTTAATTATGTAGAAGGCTGTGTGCATGCATTACAATGCTGTAAGTTTGTAATCTATAAAAGCTAGCCACTTTCTTTGTTCTCTGGTTCAGAGCCTTTTCAAGGGGGATTCTGCTGGTTTTCCCAAACCCAGCTGATTGGGATCCTGCCTTGCTGCTCAGTGTGGCTTCCTGCTAAACGTTATGGAAGTCCAGCTAGCTTGCCTGCTATTATTGCAAGAGTCTCCTTCTCAGCAAACCTGGAGTTGGCATATCACTTTCTGGGAATCCCCAAATACCCTGGAGTTGGCCAGGGCAACATAGGGCATGGCACCCCACAGTGATTCTTGCGAGTTTGACATCACCCATAAGATCAACATTCTCTCCAGAAACACTGTCAGCTACTTCTCTCCAGGCTTATGCTTGGCTAGTAGGATCTTTTTTCTCTGTTGTGTAATACTTACTTTCCAATGTGTTGAACATTTTGTTTTCAGTAGAGTCTCCAGTATACTGAGATCATTTTTAATTTGTAGTCTATCATTTAAATCATTCCCAATGCTTCCCAGGAGATACGTGCTATCCATTTCATTAATGAAGATGTTAAACAGCATCAGACTTAGGGCTTATCCTTGTGGAAACCCAAAGGACACCTCAGTGCAAACTAATTTGAACTGCACACATATATTAAGTAAAATATATATCAGGTGAACTTTAAAAGTTCAGTTTTAACTTGTCATCAGTGCAAATACAGCCTCCTGGTTTAATTAATAAATCTCTACTGTCTGACAACAGCATGTGGGAAATAATTTACTTACACATTAAGAGTGTGCCAACTGTTTCTTATTATACTTATTGTTATTGTATACGATCTTTCCCCAGTCAGACATAAACACTTTCCAATGCAGAGGCATGCGTTACTAAGGCTATTTCCATACATATCTACTTGTAACTAATTACAACTAAAAGTAGTTCACTTTATTTCTAAATAAAATATTTAGGATTGGACTGTCACATGGACCTGTTGACAGCAAAACAGAATTTAGGAAATGCATTTTAATACGGTGGAGTGGGGAGTTAATGCCAGACATAGACCATAATCTACTTTTATGTTCCTCAGTGGTCCGTAGAAGAGTTAAGTATTAATACGGAGACATGAATTGGTCCCAAACCTGCCTAATTGTGATAGGACTGTACCTACGCATTTCATATTTTAAATTCTAACACGCCTATATTTCTACCACATTACTGAACTGTCTGTCATCTGATTAAGGCCTTTACTTTTACTTTTGTAACAAAGAGGACTACAAGGTATATAATAAATTTTAACTTTTAACTTCAATTATAACTTAACAAATCTTTGACACTACAGTTTAAGGAAGGGACTTTTGAAAAGTGAAAGCTTGAGCAAGAGGAATGATCAATAGCTAGCATTAATCATAATTTATAAAAAATGTTACTAACTTTGATTTTATTTCACATTCATTAGAAGGCAAAGGCCTTTCATTTGAAATGGTATCAAATGCCTTTCACCTAATTCTACATTACCTTAAGTTCACTGTGCATGAAGTGCATAGAGTTTTATAAGTCTTTGCAACTTTATTCACAGGGGGTATACCAGAAATAAGAAATGTAATTCCACTCTTAAATATTCTGCTTAATATTTTTAAAGCAGTGTAAGAAGATACATTGACCACATGGAGGCATAGCAGGTGATTTTCAAGGGATGTAATCTAGTCAAGAAAACTCCATATGAGTGTGCCAAAGGAACAAATGAATCTTTCTGAAAATCCTGATTCTCATGAATATAGTTGATGCCCCTGCCTTAAACCACACCACATCATCATTCAGAAAGTTGAAATCTACAACAGATTAATTGACACAGAATTTCTTAATTGAGGTCACATGAAGTTACTCTCATTTTGATGCTTCATTGTTTCCACTGAATTCAGCAAGAGCTGTTTGTGTTCAGCCATCACATGAAAAGAGAACACATTTCGGCAGCATTGGCCCCATTCTTTAACTCCATCAAACTATGTTGGAACTAAGTGTTATTATACATTCTTGAAATTAAATAAAATTGATCTAGTTCACATTTAACCATCTAGTAAGGTCAGCTTAAATGATATTTTGATTGCACCAATCACTTTGGTAGCTCATTAATACCTTTGATTACATAGGACTCTTCATCTGGCAACTTGTCCCTCTTCTAAAGCTTATATTACTTTAAATAGCTTATATTACTTTAAAAATTCTTTGGGTTACATATTGTTCCATCAAATCAATATTGGAAAGGATGCTTGTTGAGAAGGCTAGTTGATCAAAACTCTAAAACTATATGCTTCAATATGGCACTTTCTTCTCAATGTACTTATTACCATGCCCATCGGCTCATCAAAGTTGGTGGATGGAACTTCTGCTGGGCCGTATATTATTGCAACAGATCACTAAAAGAGCAACTGAGACTGAAATCCTATGCAAACTTACCTGGGAGTTAGTCCCAAGAACTAACTGAATGGGGTTAGAGATAGAAGAATTGTGCTGTTACCCTGTCATTTTTAAGCTTGGACTTATTAAACAGTTATTTATCTAGCATTTGTTTGAAATAAAAATATATAAATTCCCATCTTAACAGATAAGACAGTGTAGGCTTGCTTCCTTTCTGTTTCCTGTATTTTGGCTTATATTTGTAGTCCTAGTATTACCACCTGGAATAAGCACTGCTCAATTTGAGGAGGGGTGTTTAACAACACCTTTAAAACAAACAGCACTGCACATTTTTGGAAAGTAAAGCTAAATACCTACTTGCTTTTCTCTGATTGCCAAATTGCACTAATAAGAAACAGTCTCTCAAAGTTCAAACTTCTTAGTCTTTCAGAAGAACTGCACTGACTTCCTCTTTTGATCAGCTCACGAGCCTGCCATGGTCAGACAGGGCAGATTTCACCAGAGCACTGGAAGACAAGGTGGCTTTGATAAAGAGACCCTCCACCAATTGTGGTTTTAAAGGTCAATCATAACCACTGAAATGATGCCCTTTAGTCTAGAGGAAGCCACTAATGACTGTGCAAAAAGAATGTGCTACCCAGTACACCCTAGCAATATGTCTGTGCAATATATAAGCAGAAAGCTGAAGCTGTCACTCAAGATTGCCTTAAGTCTCCCCCATCCCTGCTGGCTCCACACACAAAAAGCACCCTCAAGAAGGTAAGTTCATACAACCGTTGCTCAAGACGATTGTTCCGTTCTGAATCACTGTGATTAGCTACACGGATTTTGTCTTCCAAATGTTTCTATGCTGTGAGTTTGAACCACGGATTACAACCTAACCACCCGCTTCTAATTTTCAAAATCAGTGCTTTTGAATAATAATTTTACAAAGACTGCTTCCAGTCTCTAATGTATTCACAAGACCAGAGAGCATATCACTGTGCTCCAGGGCAATGTACATCTACCAAAGTCATCTAAATTTTGGCACACATCCTGAAGATTTCATAGTGATAAATAACACTGCTTTACACTGCTGACAGGAAATGTGATATTAAGGGCCAAAATGAAATTTTGGAGTTTTCTTTTGAATTTCTTTTAAAAGAAGATGCAGCATCCTCCAATTTGATTGGGACAATGGTGCTGGGAAAAGATTCACGCCATTTTCCTAACCTAATTGCTCTCCTGAAACTGCCAATTGCTCCCTTAGCAAAGAGTATGTCCGAATGGGACAGACAGCAACTGGGGGATGCCCCTTATAATAGGGAAGTGGATTGGGAAAGGGTTTTCTACAGCTCCTTCTAGCACTGTGGTCCTGATCCAATGTGTGCATCTCCCAGCTGATTTTGAAAGACTTCAGAGATATGATGGGAGGTGCAATCATGGAATTTCAGCATCTTGTTTAGGTTGGACCCAGTGAGCTTTAGGTTCCCCGTACAAATGCCACTGCAGATGACATCCAAAGGGTGATTCCCAAATTTTAATATGCAGAATGTCTTAGCAAATGGATCTCAACAACTGGATGTAAAGTTTCCATAAGGAGCTGCTGAGAATACCCTCATGAGGAGAAGAAACTCTCCTTTTGATAGCAGTGATCCACTTGGGACAGCATGTTATACATTCTACCTACAAGCAGAGGATCAGCACAGGGCTGGCATTTTGGGTTTGAGAGCTGCTGTGAGACTTTGGCTAAATTTCATGCAATCTGTTAAATCTTTGGGTAAATTTCATTTATCACCCAGTTCTTTCTCTCTGGACCTTCTCTCTGTGAACTGCTTCCCCTCTTCAGCTTCCATAAGGGTTTTCCCATGCAAGGAAGAATTAAAGAAGTAAAAGAATAGATGGAACGTCACAGAGAGAGAAAGAACCACACAGCCACTACTGTAGTGGGATGCACTCACAATCAGGTGCCCGCTTGATTGTGGCTCATCTAAGGAAAAGGACAGGGTAGCCCACTGCCAGTCTTTACTTTGCCACCTGCCTTTAATGGCCATTACATGCATTTTTAAAAAGAAAATAGCTGATCATTTCAAGAGGAGAATCTTGGCAGACTTAGTTATGAAGATGGTCTTTCAGGTATGCAGGGCTTTGCCAATCATCACAGCTAGCACTTTGAATGTATTCAGACTATTATGGTGCAGGTACAGATATGGATGTGCTCCCAGCAATGTGCTTCCCATCAGGACACAGTTGTGTAGTCTCCACCTTCTAGTCCAAGAGTACTGCAGGCAGAGTCCAGTGGAATCACTTCAGGACATTGGAAGGCATTCATGAGCGTCATTAGGTTTAAGCTTGATATAAAGCTAACCACCTGCTCACCAGACAGAGTTGGCAAAAGAAACTTCTGGCCATCCTTACTGTAAGCTGTTTGGGATGTCCGTGATGCATGGTGTACAAAAGTTTTAAAGTTTTATATATATATATATATATATATATATATATATATATATATATCACTGCAACCTGGGTCATCAGGTGCGGAATATGGAGCAAGGCAGAATGAACCTACCTGCCTAGAGGAGGCTAAGGCTCAGCCACCAATCATGTTCGGGATTGCTATCATTCTTCCCTAAGACACTGATGAGAATCACCATTCCAGTCTTGTTCACATCAGATTTCAACATGCTTGGCTATGGTCAGAGATTGAACAGATTAATTTTATTTGGAGAAGAAAATGAAACTCTGGGTGAAGGTGGGAACACATAAAATCAACCTGAGTTTCAAAAGATGTGAGCCTGGATTGTGTAGTTCTTAGAATGTTGCACCAGGACTCAAAAGGCCCAGGTTCTAGTCTCCACTCAGCCATGGAGCTCACTGAGTGACTTGAGGAAGTCATTGCCTTTCAGCCTGACAAACTGCCATGATAGCTTTGAAGATAAAATGGAGAGGAAGCTTATCTATGCTGCCCTGGGTTCTTGCAGGAAAAATGGAGGGATATAAGTATACTAACTACATAAAACCCACTGTGTCAAGATTGGTCCTAAAAGGAGACTACAGCTGGGGGAAGCTTGGGGAAGCTGAGGCTACTGGTCATGATGGCTTTATGCTGGAGGCCCCGTGACTCTGTGTACCAGTTGCTGGGGAACACAAGCAGGTGTGCATGTGAGCAGCTGCATGTACCTCCCACTCACAGGCTCTCACAGGCAGCTGGTTGGCCACTGTGTGGAAATGTAGATAGGCCTTTGGCCCAGTTCAGCAAGGCTCGTCTTAGGTACTTAATCCCAGAGTCGGCTTCTGAGCATAAAATGCAGGATTGCGGTATATTGACTCAGAAATAAATTCCTTGGGTTCTTGCGTGAGGAAAAAGATATAAATGTAATAATAACATAACCAATTTAATCTGAAGGTGCTTAAATATACTCAAGGCACATCTATAGTACAGAGGGCCTATCCCCAATGTATAATTCCTGTATTAGACACACTATCTGACTAAGAGTGTACAAGATGAAATCAGAACCAGCAATGGCACTTCATACATAAATTCTTGCCACAGTGACTGCAATTCAAGAAAATGTATCTGCAGTCTAAACTTTGGCTAATCTTGCAACTGTCATTTTGGGTCTGGCTTGATGAGATCAGGTTTTGTGCCATATTGAATGAAAATATTTAGTATCTAAGGTAGGCAGCTGCATGTTTCCTTTTTCTGCAAAATAAATAACCCTTTAGTCAGTAGCGGGCATTTTACTTAATGAAATGAGATATGTTAGGAAAACACGAACATTTATTCCCCCCTCTCTCTCTCTAAACATAATAATTGAACTGGGAAGACGATTTATTCTGTTGATTTTTCTCTTCTTTTTTAAAATCAGCATTACTCATTTCATACTGCTATCCTTATAAGCAAATGTTTGAGAAAGATTCCATTAGGATAAAATGTAAGGGTGGTAATTCAGAAAATTAATTTAGACAGAATTAACTTTTGTGTCATATGACAGATTAAGCAATCAACATCATCTGTATTGACTTTTTATATTATTGCAGACAGATCACTATGAAAACAGTGACATTTGTTAGTGCATTCAATAACTCTGTTTAAAAGCAATTGCTTTTTTCATTTTATATCCATGGTTTACATTCAGAATTCCCTAAATGTGGGTGAATTTACAATAAGCAGAACAAGGCCTTTTCTTAACTTCTAGGCACCATTTAAAACAACCTCTTCTCCAGACACAGACTAATCTAAGACCTGAATTGCACTTTAGCTCAATGTTGTCTTTCTTAAGATCAAAAATCAGCTGCAGGAAGCAGTTATCTTGAATGGAGCAATAGTGAAAGGAGGGCCATCTTCCTACTCAGAGTCGCTTTCAGAGCAGTTGAGAAGGTAACACTGAGGAGAACAGCAGCCCTTGAGGAACATGGACCCCAGTAAAACCACTGGACCTAAGTCAAACTGCATATATGAGAACTGATTCTCAGCCGGCCAGCGTACTACCCAACTTCTGGGATAATCTAGAGTTACGCTCACCTCCAAATAATTGTAACAGCACCAATCAGGGATCGTGCAATCTCCTTAAGGGTCACAGCTCACTTAGAATTAGCACAGCATTGGAAGGGCTCTAGTGCTGGTTCTTTAGAGACAGGGCGCTTTTATATATGGGATCTGGTGATTCATGAAATTAACACTGACCAGTAAAGTGGCTGGACCTGATGACCTCGACACCACTCGGTGTCTGTTATGTCCTATGCAAATGCTGATCCCACAGTTCCTGGACTGCCAAAATACTGTTCTGGAAAGGTGTTCTAGAATGGGCATACAGGGAAGCTTCTGATATGGAGCTTTTTGCAGCGGAGCATCTGTGGGGCTCCTTATCCATTTCAGTTTTTATTCTGATCTTTCTAGGAGCATTCTGTGGTGCATGATGGTGGTGAAAGTATTTGGGGAATGTTGTTCAGCACAATGGATAGCTCCTATGAAGCTCTGAGTGGGTGTTGCAATAGATACGAGGAAGGAAATAAATGTGGTGCAGTAAGAATAAGGTGCCCCACTGACATGGTTGTCACCAGCCTCCCCATCTGCAGAAAGCGATAATAGAATGCTTTAATGATGCAGCTGCCTGGGCCAGTTCTGAATGGGCTGTCTCTGCAAGGCAAAACGAAGGTAAGAGCCCCTGGAATTCAGGCTCTCCACAGTGAATGTCTTGCTTTCCCCTGTCTGGCCTGAACCGGCATATATTCTTCTTATTAAAAACAAAAAACTAAGTCTCTTGGCCTGTGTGACACAGGATAGACCTTGCTAGCTTCCCACTTGGGAAGAACTGTTACCCGCTTTGCACATGGCAGTCATGAGCGAGAGAAATGGTAAAGCACTCAGAGAGCCAGTTCACTCTTAAGCCTCACAAGGAAGCTGTCCAGCTGTGCTGCCTCTTGACTGATCTCCTAAAGGAGAGGTTTTCTTCCAGAAGCAGAGAGACAGCTGCAGTCGGAAAGAGCGTAACACCCGCTTTCCATGCCCCGTGCGCCTACAAGTAGCTTCTACCACACTCCTCGCCTTCAGTGGCCTTCACTGCAAACAAAACTGGCCCCTGGACCTCTGGAAGTTACCTATCCCGGATACAAATGTTGATGTTTGTCATGCATGGGATATCTTCACTCTTTTTAAGTTTTCCTGAACGTACCCTGCATCAATTGGTTATTTATTTGATCCCAGGGCTACACATATACATAGCAGATTTTTTAAAAGAAACATCCAATAAGGCATGACATATGTAAGCTTTAAGGCAGGCACGAGCACCTGGAATCCAGCGAGAGCACAAATGACTGCCTGGCCTGCTGACACAACTGCACCCTACATGGACCCAGCTGAAGCTCCAGCAGGAAGAACTTCAGCCAGTGGTTTGGCCTGGAAGCACACAATGCCAGGGGGCCTGGCTCCCCCCAGTGGCCTGTGAGGGCTTCAGTTTTGGGTATTGATATGGATATTTCTTCTTAGCATGATTGCCTTTGGCAGGATTCTTTTTTACTTCAAGAAATGGTTCATTTTTCGCACTAGCAGTAGAAACATTTGCTTAAATGGAAAAGGTAAGAATACGCCCAGCTAATGTTTAATTTAGCATAGTATCAGAACTGTGGCTGATGGTCAAGAACCCGCAGAAATAAAGTACTCTGAGACTCAAGCTAATGAAGTGTAGGAAAACATGTTGAGAGGCTTACTTTTGGTGGTCTCCGAGAGCTCTTTGTCCAATAGATTTTAACAAGGACTCCGGATGGACTGCTACCTTTGGTGATGTTTTGGGACTAGAATCGGAATCTCCACTTTCCTCATCTCCCATGGCTTTAATATAGCTTCCACTTCTCATTCTTCTGCAGGGAATTTCCTCATCTTTACCGCCAGCGGGGTACCCTCCCCATTCATCTTGAGGCACCTGAGACAGTGTGTTACAATAAGCACAAAATAGAAATAAATCTGACATTGCTATGGAACCCTTTTAACAAAGAACAGCTATGATAAAAATTGAGTAAGCATTCAGCATGGTGCAAAAGATAGACTGTAATCTGGCTGCTTAGGAATATGGGCAGTATCTAGTGAATGACTATGACCAAGTGGTAGCATCCCCTGGCGGGATATAATCACTAAGGAAGTTAGGAGACTCCACCATTTCCTGATTGTCTCAAAACATGCCAATGCCTGCTAACAATTAAATTATCCTCGTCGTACAACAGGGTCACACCATTGCTATACGTGCACCTTAATGGAAATCTTTATCCACTCTTTAATGCCTATCAAGTATGTGCATTTATCTGTATGCTTGATCTATAAACTGACACAAACAGAGTGAAAGTCAACACAACTGATAACTGCGTTTCACTGTGCCATGGTGAATGAAAGAACCACAGCCACATGGGCGTGTGGATGAGTGAGTGAACGAGCTTTACAGAATTTAAGACAAGAATGGGCCCATGGGAGAGAAGGAAAGGTGGGGGAATCTACGGCTTATAGTCTTACTTTCTTGGTTACATTTCTGCAGAGGATGTGAAAACATAGATGGTAGGGCAGAGAAAGATTTTTTCCTCCATCTCTTTACAGTTCCTCCTTTGTCCTATTGCTTCTTTGCCCTGAACCAACTGATGAGATTTACTTGCATGGTCCACACACACAAACCTTCTTGCGAGAGCGGAAGCTATGCTCTTAGCGGCAGCACACTATGTTCAGAGAGATACGCCTACTGATTTACCTGGATGCCTCAACTGTCCTCCCCACACCCTGCTTGCAGGAAGCCTTCCGGGGGGGCGGGGGGTGTCACATTTTTTATTAATAGGGGGAATTATTAGAATCCCAGTTCTTTGTCTTGCTATATCTTTAGAACCAGTGGAGATCAGCTATGGTTCCCACATAGTGCCCAAATGAAAATGAGTTTGATGGAGTGCTTGCAGTATCTATGACGGTCTAATACATGGTGATCATATAACTCAAAGAAATGTCATATAATTCAGAATCTATTGAGGTGAAGATACAACATTGGAAACTAGAATGTGTGGATTCTAGATAGCTGTTCATGTGCACAACTGGCACGTCATGTCTTGTTTAGTCATTGTGCTTTGTTTGTTTTGTATTCAGCCCTAATTATGCCAGAATATTAGTCAAGTATTTAACTTTAGCCTTCTAGCCTGTCTTTCTTTATAGATTTGTCCTTGCTCTTTCTCAATCTCTCTCTCTCACGGACACACGCACAGAGACGATTGACAGCAGTTGCATATTATAGTGAAAATAGTAACAGTATGAAGTATAATAAAAGGTCAACAGTGGGATGCAAGGTTTAACAAAGTTGGGGAAAGTGACCCAAAAACTGTGAAATCATTTAGCATGGGATTTAACATGCATGTCTCTCAGCTTCTGATATCATCATTTAATCTACAGCTACTGGATGACAATAAAGGACATTTCCTGCTTGCTCTTAGTGTTCATTGTTCAGTCAAAATCTGTATCATACTCTTACTCCAATTTCTTCTGTTCTCACCTTGCAGTGATTGTTTTCTGTGGCCCTGTTTCTTCTGCTTCTCAAGGCTAAATTCCCTTCTTTCGCCATGTGCCATGCACATGTATAAAGCATAGCAAGCCACAGCTGTTCTTTGAAGCCACCTTGTATTTGACTCGTATGATTCTTAAAATCCTACCTCAGGTCAAGCAATTTATAATAAAGTATGTGTTTCAGCACATCGAGTGTGCAATGGAATCATACCCTACCTATATACACATGCACATGTATATATATACACATATATATCGTATGTGTGCCATCAGGAGCATCGTATTTTCAGGATTCCAGATCATTTGGAGATTCTCTAAGCATGCTCAGCTTTATGCTGGGAATTATGCACAATCTACTTGTGAGGCAGGACACATGTGACTAAAAGTTGTTCCTTCCTCCATGGAGAGACTTGGACAGCTGACAGGAAACACCCAAGCTGCCACAACCCTGCAAACTAATATACCTAACTGGCTACATTCTAGGCTAGCTTAAGTAAAGAAGAACCATTGGGTTATGGAGAAACAATTTCTTAGCAATATAGTAAGAAGTCAGCTCCTGTCAAGAAGACCTACTTTAGTCAGCTGTTCTGCTGTGTCTCACCCAATCTATAAATATTCTTCTGTAAAATCCAGATAACTTTGAATGACTTTCTTTAAAATGGTCTTTGCACAAGCTACTTCATCCCTGCCTGCTTGTTCTGGAGTTGGCTCCCTTTTCAGCTCAGCTATATCTTCTCCCACACACTGCAGCACACCCTTGAACTTTCTTTCCAGCATGATGGGAAAAGTGAACCTGCTGAAGATAATGCAAAATAATACACAAACACCAGAAACATGAGGTGAGATATTGCATCCTCCCAACATTTACTTTCTGCTACTGTTTCCCCTAATATAGGAAGCTGCTTCCCACAAAGTCAGACCCTCGGTCCTTTCAGCCTGCTATTGTCAAATCTGACAGGCAGTGGCTCCCCAACACCTGCTGGAGAGGCCAGGAGATGAACCAGAGACCTTCTACATGAACACATGTGCTTGACCACCAAGTCATGCCCTTTCTTACTGTTACTGTCGCAGGCATTTATATGCCTCTTGCATATTAATAATGCTTGTAATATGGAGTCACACAGTACAGGCACAATCAATACATTAATTAAACATCTGTAGACGTTTTCCAGGCAGTTTACAGTGGTTCCTAAAAGCAACAAGATACAATAAAAACAAACATAAATATTTTCCATAAAATGGAATTTATTTTTTAATTAACAGCTAAAACAATGCAGAATAGACTTGTACACACCAGACATAGGAATTAGCCATTGGATAACCCCAGGTTTCTTTAAATAGCCCTCTTGAATGTGCACCCTAGTGTGGGGAAGGGGGTTTGAGTGTGTCAGAGAAGATGAGCGCAATGCCACAAGAAAGAAGGCCAGATTGACTCACTAGGCTGGTCTCCTGGCAGGGTCCCCCAAGGTGGGATGATCAAAGATGAGGCACCAGACTAAGGGGCATTGAGCCTCTTCAGGAGTATCAATCACAGCAGATGAGAATGGACATCTCTAATGATGATGAGGTGAAGAAACTCCTGAAGGACAGCAGCAGTAGCTGAAGGTGACACTGGTGGAGCATCTTTCATGGACCCGGGCAGTGACATCCAAACTAACTCTGGTTAGTATTTTGTAGAAGAAGGTAATGGTAAACCACTTCTGCATCTTCTTACCTTGGCAAGGGTATGATGCCATTGCATTTATAGTCTTGCTGTAAGTCAGAGATGACTTGAAGGCATAAAACAACAAACAGCATCTTTAAATCCCTAGCACAGAGGGCAGCCCTAACTAGAGGCTGATGACAACGTTAGCACTAGGCAGGCCTCAGTGGATGCCCTCAGAGAAGGCCTCAGATGTGGATTGTAGCGTATGGGTAAATTGCAGCTGGGAGAGGCATTCCATCCAGTATTGCGCTCCCAAACCAGGTAGGGCTTTATTGATCCCAAGCCATATAAGGCCTTCTATACAGCACTTTGAAGCATATGAGAAGCCAATGCAAGCAAGCCGGAATTGCCGTAATGTGTTCAGACCTAAATTACTAATCTGGCCACCATGTTTTGTACATGCTGTAGCTTCTGAAGTGGTCAAAGGTGTCCCCATATAAAGCGCACTGCAGAAAATTGCATGTTTCGATGGATCTTCACTAGACTGAAAAATGTTGCTGAGACAGCAGAGACTTTGATTTGCATTATGTAAAAACTCAGAAAAAAATCCAGTCTGTGGTAGATGCTGCTGGATAATAGAAATATTCTGCAAGCAATCCATATAGCTTTGAACTCAGTGTTAGCTCTCATATCTTGTAATGGATCTAGACTGGGCCCTAATAGGAAGACACAGAATTGTTTGCCCTTGCAATGTGCTAAAGGTTGCACTTCCTATTTTCATATAATTAAAGCACAGCTATTTACTTTCTGCAGGATGCACCCACTGAGCCAAGGAGCACACACTGGAAACATGAAATGTCAGAATTCCATATCATAGACACATGTGAAGACACATACAGAAATCTGTAAAAGTGGGGGGAAAGAAGCAAGAAGGGAGCAAGCTTAAAGATAACATGAAAGAATTCCAGTTAACAGAACAGTATCCTCATTGTATTATCAGAATGTTAGAACTGAAGAGATTGAAAACATTCTTTTTGCCTGAATCTATTCACCCCTCCCCGCTTTGGATCACATACACTGAAGTGGGGGGAAATTCTTTGAGCTTTAAAAATTTCAACAAAACTCAGCTCCAAGCTTAAGCCAATGTCTACGATACTCCTTTTATCTGAATATGTAGTTGGTCAAAATCTGTCTTCGTTTTCTGAAACTCAAAGTGGAAGAGTAGTGAGACGTCAAAAATACCTTAAAGAAAAGTATTTCATTAAGTGCATACTTTTTTTTTTCATTTCAGGGCATGATCAAAAGAGACCTTTGTGTTGAAACTGAATTTTGCATCTCACTTGATCATGTTTACATTGCCATAGATTAATCAGTTCATTAATTTGTCCACAGTTGTATCACAGTGGTTTACATGCCTGAAACATGCTCTTAACAGTCAGCCTCTCTGATATGCCCTCATCCCTCCCTTCACATACTGCAGACGGAAGCACCTCTTTCTTATTCGTTCAGAACAGTCCCAAAAATCTGTATACTCGTACTGAAAATCATCAAAGTGGCTTGATGGCTTGTGCAAATAGTTATTGGTGCCTGAAATTCCCATCTGCAGAGTTTGCATCTGCTAATTGGGAATAATTACCCTAATTAGTTACTTGTAACAAGTGCTGATAGCTTTAATTTCTAAAAAGCCCTTTTCCTGTTCTTGATATTCATCCCTTGTATCTGCATTATTTAACACATGGAGGAATGTATAT